CATGCACTTGAAACGAAACAATCTTCTTCACTCGCAGTATCGGAGGCATTTCCAGAAGTTAGGGTTGAAACGCAACTGATGCAAGTTGTTGAAGATTTAACAGATAGATTAGATGATGAAAGCCGATCTTATGTTTAAATAGGACCATCAGATGATGAAGAGGAAGAAGATCAATAGATCATGGGTACCTCAGAAGATGAATATGAAGAAGAGGAAGCTGATGAAGACGAGGAGGAAGCAGATGATATTCAAGACACTTAAAACTTAGAGCAATTTTACTGTTACAAATTGATAAATGTATATGTAATTAATATTTATTAATGAAGAATTTCAATGGTATGTAAACTTTCTACTCATATTTATCAATGTTCTAACAATTCATAAATTGTAGTAAATTCATTTATCTAGGTTCTGATATCTAGCAGTACAGATGGCTAGAGGCAGAACCGTGATTCTGACGGTCCGGCAGTGGTTCGCGTGGACGTCATGGCCAGGGGCGATCCCCTCGTCCTTCGTCAGGTACGTCTGGGGCTTCGTCATCTGCGTCAGCGGACCAGTACTGCCGCCATCGCATCCTTCTTCAGGTACGTCTAGGCTTCATCCTCTGCTCAGCGTCCAGTACTGCCGCCATTCACAGCCTTCTACTCCTTCCTCTTCTGGCTCCCTTCCTCTTTTGCTCCTTTCCTCTTCTGGACCAGTACAGACTCCACCAGCTGCGCACAAGTCACCTACTGTGTGGCAAGTATCATAAATTGTCATAACTGTCTTTTAATTATTATTCAATTATCTTAAAAAATTATAACATTTTGTCATTTTCTTTGCAAGCTTCATCAAGATCCACTGTATCACCCTCAGTTTGGTAGCGGGACACGTAATACTTATTCAAAATTTCTGCAGGGCATATTTTGTAATTATATTTGTAACTTATTCATAAACGTATGCTTTCATGTAATTATATTTCACTTCGTTTTTTTTTTCAGCATATATCCATCTTCTCGAGCAGCGAGGCAAATTTTTGAAGATATCAAGCTACAAGCTGCATTAAAGAAGGATACACATGGATGCCGTTACGCACAAGAGGCGAGAGACTTTTATTGGGGAGGAGTTTCCAGGTACTCTTTGGTTTTAAGGTTATATCATCATTCAATGTTTACAATTCAAGATAACATCCTTAGTGTTTTAACGCTATGAAGTGATCTTAAATTTTTTTTGCAGAAACATTATATGGGATGAGGCGCCCATTACGGCTATGCTGAAAGTAGCCTGGGAGAAGATATGCGCCGATCGATACGCTGACTTCACCTATAGGATGAGAAGAAGCGGTAAGAAACAACGGTGCGTGTCTCAGGAGATATGGGAGAGCTGGCAAAAGGCTTGGGAGGATCCTGCATTCAAGAGAAAGCGGGAGATGTTTGCACAAAACAGGCGCAGTGAGACTGGCGGGGATGGAGCAGGACCTTCGCGACACACAGGCGGATCTATATCTGCTATAGAGACAGCTCGATTATTAGTAAGTGAACTAGTCCCTTTGCAAGAAACTGATGTTTAATGAAAGGACAATATATATATTAATATATCATGCATAAAAATTCATTACAGGCTAAAGAATTAGGTCGTGAGCCCACACCGATCCGATGGGAGGTGTTACATACACGCACACGAAGGACCACGATCGGTAATTACTTTGTTCGACAGGCGTGCGCGAGCGTTCAATGTAATTAACAATTGGAATAATATTTACATTTACCCTCTAAATCATTGCGAAGATGTACAAGTTGAATAATAATAAAGCTTGCAATTGGCATTGATTTAATTAATTTTTGTTTTTCAGGAGAAACTGATACTACAGCTCGGAGCCGTATTGCTTGACTTCTCAGACCGATGAATCCGAAGCGAGTCAAGAATTGACGAAGGTACGCTTTATCTCGAGGCTGTAGGGGGCGGTAGCGCTTTATCTCGAGGCTGTAGGGGGAGAGAAGAAGAGGAAGGTATACGGCATCGGGTCTCAGGCATCACAGTTTTACATTGGCTCAGCAGCTCACGCTTCTACAGCCGGAGCACAGTGACTCGTACTGTGATGATGATATACGGGCTCAGCTTGCTGATCAGCAGAGACAGATTGCAGAGCTTAGAGCGCATGTGATACGGCTGTCCGGTGAGCACCGTGCTGGTACTTCTCCCTCTGATCCTACGCCTGCTACAGACCGACATGTTTCGACGTCTCAGCAGCAGCCACTATCGGCTCCTGATCCCGATGCTGCAGACGATACCTTGGTCCCTGGCGCTACATCACATCCAGCGGGTACTCCTACCCGCGATCCGACATCGGAGGATCCGACATCGGATTCCTGCAGATGAGCAGGCAAACATAATAGATTTGATTGACATTTATTTTTTTCATTTGATTTTCATATTTTAATTTGTAGAACGAAAAAAGTACATTTTATAACTGTTCTTGAATTAGTGTGTGATTTATATATGCATTTATGTCAACTTTCACAGGTTGCCAGAAAAAATTTTGGTTTCAAAATAATATAATTTTTTTATTTTTTTCCATTGCGACCGATTTGCGACCGATTGATACCAAAAGTAAAAAATTATGAATTATAATTGCGACCGATTGAAAAAAATTTGCCGACCGATTATTCTGCGACCAAATTTTGCGACTGAATTTCCAAATTAAATCCACGATAAAAATTGCGACCGATTATTCAATTTGCGACCGATTTTATCGTATCTAAATTTGCGACCGATTGTCTCATCGGTCGCAAAATTATATTTGGCAACCAGTATTTGCGACCGGACGATTTCGGTCGCCCAAATGTCGGTCGCAAATCGGTCGCTAAAGCAAATTAGCGACCGATATTTGCCATTTTGCGATCGATTGGTCGGTCGCAAAATGGCATTTTTTTTGTAGTGTCTTGACATGTTACTTGACCTTCAAATATTAATTAATTAATTAAATTTATATTTGTTGTCAACATATTTAGAACTTAGAAGATCATACACATAAGAATGAATATGAAAAAGTGAAAATGAGAAATCGAATCAAGTATGACTTGATTACAAATAAGTTTTGTAAAGTTAAGGACAAAATTGTAACTTACATTTAATTACAATTTTAACTAAATTGTTAAGTATTGACTTAATTGATTTATGTCTAAAATTAATAATGATAAATTTTAGATTAAAGAAACCTAATATTTTAATTATGATTTATTTATTAAATAAATAAATATAATTGGATTAAATTGAAAATCTTATTACTATAATGTAGTATGGTTATTTATTTAAATGTTTAAATAAAAATAGGCACATATATAATATTTTAGTTATACTTTATTTATTTAAAAGGTTTAAATAAATAATTATAATTAATTTATTTATGATCTAGGGTTTTCATATATAAGGTTTAAGATACAGTTTAGATTGAAGTTATTGTTCATTTACCACAAAACTAAACATAGAGCCTATGATAGTTAGTACCATCATACGCTCTAACCTCTCAACATAGTTTGAGTTTTTTGATTATCCATTTGTGTGGATACTACTAGAGGCCAAACACTTGGACGGCTTATGGTTTGAGACAACCTTGTTGCGTAGACCGAAGTTTCAAAGAATCTGCAAAAAAGATATTCTTTTAAACAATTTTTATTGCTTTAATCGTTTAAACGGATCTCTGTTGGTATAATTAATTTGTTTTATTATATTATTCCGCTGCGTATTATTGATATTGAAACCCAACAAAAAAAAAAAAGTCTCAAAAACTGAAGCGTAAGTCTTAAACACTTTAATCCGATTCAAGTTTTGAAACAATTAAAAATGAATACTTCAAATAAAAGAAATAAGATAATATCCCAAACAATCATGAAAATACCAATCTCCTTTTATAAATTATTAATGTGAAAACATTTTAGAGGCTTAGTACTTCACTTCCAAACGTTCAAAATGCTTGAAATAAATGTCAAATTCTTGATATCTCAAGTCATTTTTTTAACTTAAGTCTAAGAATATTCACAATTATTTCGCTTTTCTCTTGAACCCATTAATTAACTTATTAAATCTTGAATCAAATTATAGCTTTGTTATTAAGTTGTTTAATTGATCACATGCAAAATCCAATTTATATTAATTAAACCATATATTAATCTTCTCCATTCGGTTCTTCAATTAACATTTAACTCAATACTAGGCCAAATTCTTGCAAAAATGAATTAAACGATTTAATTAACTAACGAAAGCAACATTATCTCAAACCAATCAATTGAGCTAAAGAAGATTCAAACACCCATATAATAGGCTAATTAGTTCATGGCAAGTAACTCATCTAAAACAACTTGATTTAAATTACAAAACGTCGTAGTAACAATTATTCAAACAAATTAACCGAAGATATAAAGAAAGAAATAACTTGGCCAATTAGATGTTTGGCTCCAAAATTCCTATCAACAATGCTTCTCCTCTTAATTGTAGAGGCAAAAGGTAATAATTGTCTTACAATTGAATAATTTAAAAAGAAAGAATAATAAAAAAAAGTTCTCCTTTCGACTCTAACTCTCAAGGTGTTTGTTGATGTGTAATGATGTCTCTCTTGTGTTGTTTTGTGATCTTCATGTTGTATATATTCTTCTGGTCTTGTACCCCTCTTAAAAAGAGATAAAATCCAAAATTTAAAGATCAAACTTAAAATAGTGACCCTTTCCCTAATAGAAATCTTGGAAAATCTAGGAGAACACGGGTGTGTCGCGTCATGGCATGATCATGTTCACTGAATCAAACAAGAAAAATGGAACGTTTTGTAGTCTTGAGATGAATGATCACGACGGTGTTGATCTCTAGAGCTTTTAGTTTGATCTTCAACATACTCAGTGACATGGGCATGTTACAGGCCATGAAGGCTTTTGGAAGTTTTTACACCATTTGCACATGGTTGTATCTCTTCTTATTTTGGTTCTATCTTTTGTACACACTCATATTGTATATCAACACAGGTATGTTAAGGCTTTGATTCTTCAAATAAAATCTCCATTTTAAACCATCCTAAAGAACACGATGCTCCATGATATTTAAGTTCAAAAATAGTAAGTCTCCACTTCAGAAAGCATAATTAACAAAACATAAATAATAAACCAAAACTAGCGAAAAACTATACAGTTACAAACTAAAATACTAAAAATTAACCTAAAAATACTATAACAAAATAAGTCACAATAAATATATAATTAGAAAAATAAAGTAAATAAATTTATTTATGACATTAATATATCTCCTTAATAGCTTTTGGGAAAATTTTGAAGCTAAAAATACTTGATCTTACTTTATTGGCACAAAATTTGATTTTTCACTGTATTTTTAGAAATAATATATATTAATAAATTTTGATTCAGATTAATCAAAATTAACTCAGAAAATAAAATTCAAATTAATTTACTAAATTTAACATATTCTATCAAAAAATAAATGTCATACTACACAGGGACAAACGCAGGATTCATAATTGGGGATATAAATAGTTATAGAATAGAACTTTTATATATTTTATAATAGATATATATATATATATATATATACTATATATATATATTTATATTATTAACTATATATATATATATATATATATAATTAATATCATTATTAGTAAATAATTATATAATTAATATTCATTATAAAATAATCTCAAAATGCATTATATCTAATACATATAACATCAAAAAGGGACACGTCTCTTTTAAATCACGAAAATCAGCGATAAGTGAATCTACTAAAAATATTTTAGCAATTTCTTGCTGATGTAGAGTAGTAAACAATCAGAGAGAAATTCATCTTCAATCTTATTACAAAGCTTATTCTTAATTATAGTCATCGCTAAAAAAGATCGCTTCGTACTAGCTATGGAAACTGGAAGAGTAAGAATAATAGTCACCACTATATACAAGAGAACAAATCTCAGATTTTCCCGTTTTCACCAACCATTGCACAAATCAAAAATAGTTGACAATTCTTTACAATTAGAAAGTTGTCGCATATGATCAAAATGCTCAACTTGCATTGTAACATTCCTTCCCCGTCCACCCGTTAACCCGAATGAACCGAGCCGAGACACTACAATCTGGTTGAACTTATGTCCTGTCATGCTGATATCATCCTGTATGCTAAATATAATGCTTAAATATGAAATACAAAACACTCCCAATTAACTCCAAAACTTTCCCAATACTCCAACTAATTCATCAAAACACAATAACACTTTATTATATCTTTTCATAATTTGTATAACTCTCAATAGCATTTAATATCCAGCAATTTAATTTCATTCATTATATATATCAAGTCTTCATGAACTAATCATACCAACTATGTTTAAAATAATTTTCATAATTCACTCATTTTTCATCAGTAGTATTTCTTATCTCCAAATTCTTGACGCCAAAAATTAATTACATGCTTCACTTTGTATTTCCAATTACATAAGCTTTAAACAATGTAATAATTATACATGCCAAAATTCTTAATTATATAACTCTCAATCTACTAACTTCCCAAATTAGTCACTTCTGCTGTTGATAGTTACTCCTCAAGTCTTCAAGTAGAACCATGATCTTTCAACCTACGCGTGATAAAATCGACGGCTGGAGTATTATAAATCAATGGTGCTTCTTAATTCAACTATATTAACAAAGTGCGATGGCAACTTACTTAAAATACCCATTTCATAAAATCATTGATAATCTTAGAATCATTTAAAATTTTTCAACATAAATGTACCTTTACAGCAAAGAATTAAACTTCTAATTCATAAAAATTTCAAGTTTAGTTCTAATTATTCTCATAACTCCTTACCATAAACATTTTAATCCCACACATATCATAATTACTTTCATGATCTTACCTGCTTGTTTCAATTATGCTGTATGAATTAAACAAATAAACATGTAAGAAACACATAACAATATATTTTTTTCATTGTCTTACTTGCTGTTCATTATGTTGTATGACTTATGCACTTTTTTAGTCACATCATATAAGTTACAATTAATAAAAATCTCATAAACTATATGGCTCTTAATAATTAAATTAAATAAACTTGTAAAGCATACCATAGCATATACTTTTCATGATCTTACCTGATGTTCTTTATGCTGTATGAATTTTGCAACTTTTATTACAAAGCTCATTGAATTATCGCAACGAATAAAGAAAACAAGTAAAGCACATACATATGTATAAATAAACATGTAATCACATAATGAGAATGTAAGCACCACATATCATGATAACTTTCATTATCATACATGCTGCTTCATTAATTACTGTAATAGAATTATTGCAATTTTGTAGTCATATAATGTTTATAGGCT